CGTCACCAGAACAGATGGTGAACAAGCTTCCGGAGTTACTCATCCCTGACTCAGCTCTGCCGTCAGCCAGCTGAGGGCCTGGAAGCAAGTCTCTTACTCCCTGGGCCTCCCTGTGGCACTGCTGGCAGCACCTGGCCTTTATTGGCAGGAGCAAAGGGGGTGGTAAGAGTGAACATTAGCTGGTATTTCATGTGTGCTAATGCTTTGCAGAAATGCTCACTGAAGTCTCATCTCAACTCTTGTCACTTACATGCTGCCCTATTTTTGCTGATCTTATAGATGAGAAAAGTAAGGCTCAGAGAAATGATAGGTCTAAAGTGGCTATCTTAGCTGCTATAACAAAGTCATAAAAATTAGAGCAGAAATAAATGCAATGGAGACTCAGAGAATGATTCAAAAAATCAATGAATCAAAGAGTTGGTTTTTTGAAAGAATAAATAAAATCGATAAACCCTTAGCCAACCTTATCAAAAAAGGAAAGAAAAGGCTCAAATTCATGCAATTAGGAATGAAAAATGTGAAGTCACAACAGACTCACCAGAAATCCAGAGGATCATCATTACTTACTTTGAGAAACTGTACTCTAATCAAATGAAAAATACAGAAGAAATAGACAGATTCCTAGACACATATGAACTTCCAAAGTTGAACAAAGAAGATATAAAAAGTCTAAACACCCCACTTACATTTAATGAAATTGAAAATGTAATTAAAACATTACCAACAAAGAAAAGCCTAGGTTCTGCTGGCTTCACTGCTGAATTCTACAAGACATTTAGAGAAGAACTATAGCCACTACTCTTTAAACTCTTCAAAGAAATTGAAAGGGAAGCAATATTCCCAAATTCATTCCTGGAAGCAAGTAGTACTTTGATTCCAAAACCAGGGAGAGACCCAACCAAAAAAGAGAACTACAGGCCAATCTCCCTAATGAACATAGATGCAAAAATCCTCAATAAGATACTGGAAAAGAGAATACAGAAGATCATCAAGAAGATCATACACTCTGACAAAGTTGGATTTATCCCAGGGATGCAAGGATAATTCAACATATGTAAATCAATAAATGTAATACACTATATTAACAGAATCAAGGACAAAAACAATATGATCATCTCAATAGATGCAGAAAAAGCATTCAACAAAATTCAACACCCATTCATGATAAAAACCCTACAGAAAATTGGAATAGATGGTCTTTATCTCAACCTGATAAAGGCTATCTATGAACAACCAAGAGCCAATATCATTTTTTTTTTTTTGTACCAGGTATCTAACTTGGGTCCTTGTGCTTGTGAGCCAGGTGGCAGCCCCACTAAGCTAAATCCCCTGCCCGCCAATATCATTCTAAATGGTCAAAAGCTAAAAGCCTTCATGCTAAAATCAGGAAGAAGACAAGGATGTCTACTGTCACCACTTCTGTTCAATATAGTTCTAGAAACATTAGCTGCTGTAACCAAATACCACGGACTGAGTGGTGTTATAAACAGCAATTTTTTTTGTCACAGTTCTGGAAATTGGAAGCCAAGATTCAGGTGAGGGCCTACTTTCTGGTTCATGACAGGACTTCTAGCAGTATCGTCCCATGATGGAAGAGATAAGGGGGTCTCTGTCAGACCTCTTTTATAAGGGCACTAATTCCATTCATGGGGACTCTGTTCCCATTACCTTCGAAGGTCTTGATTCCTAAAACCATCACCTTGGAGGTTAGGATCTCTAATTGGGGGTGGGCACAAACATTCAGATCATAGCAGTGCCTGATGAGGGATGTGAGCCCAGTCTGAAAGCCTCTCCTCTTGTGAGCCACTAGCCATGTGACACAAGACCATTGGAATCAGTCTACTGCCTGGTTTGGAAGAGATTCAGGAGAAATGGGAGCCAAGCAGAGGCTGGAGGAGGCAAGGTGGGACAACTTTGAGGAGGAAATGAGAGGGCCATCTAGTAAAAGGGAAGATGCTGTCCTCATTCAAATGATTGTTTTCAGGGGGAGAAAAGGACACAGGGAGGGGAAATGATTTATCCAAAGTCACACAGCTGGCTTGCACCAACCAACACTGGAGATGTATCTGTAAGTCTCTCAGCTCCTGAGGACTCTAGGATAATTCTGCTAATTATCACCAGCATCATTTGCATAGGGACTTTTTCTTTTTCTAGCAACAACCCATGATCATGAATGACTTTGCTTGACACAGTGGATTCCCAAGGCTTAGTGACACTGGATCTGGCTGCAAATAAAGATGTTTGTGGTAAGACACTAGACCTCACTTATGACAGTGTGACTAGAAAACCACATGAGTTAGAGCCAAAGTCATGGGCTTGTTTGGTGGCCCCAGACTCACTTCTAATTCTTGGTTGCAGAGTTCATGTTGGCTAGTTAAAGGAAAAAAAGGCAAAGAAACAGGTAGGCCAGAATCTTTTTGAAAACTGAAGAAATGACTGAGCTTTTAGGACCTAAATTGTATTGTAAAGTGGGGCCATTCATAAAGGAAAAAATGGAAACCATTGTTGTAAATAGGGACAGGTGGAGTAGAAAGGAGGGAGAGGAATGGGGGAAAAAATAAGAACCAAATATATTGAGTAAAGGTACAAATTCCCAATAATGAATGCCAACATTGTATACCTAAAATGTACCAATAAAATTAATGAATTAAAAATAAAGTAGAGCCATTCATGAAACCTGCTGACTGATATAATCAGGAAGTAGCAGGAAGGACCTGCTACGAGTGCAGCTTCCAAGAGCCATGCCACCTTGTCGCTTTATCCCACCAGCAAAACCATGCCTTGTGACTAGCCCTCTTTCTCAGGTACAGTAACAGCTGTCTCCTGAAAATGCTTCCTATTGGTTGAGCCTAAATTGCACCAAGAGCTCTAGCTGCAAAGGAATGTGGGAAATGTGGTCTTTAGCTTTCTTGCCACTGTAGTACAGAAGGGAGAGATAACAAGCATATGGTCCTGTGTTTGAAATGCTCAGTGTGGAAGGGTTGCAGATATATAAGCAGAATATTACAAAACAGTGTTATTTACCTTTATTAAGAGACAGTGTTAAGGATCAATATGAGTTTACCAGATGAGGAAAACAGAGCAAGGAGTCCCAAATATAAGGGAAACAGAGAAGAAAAGGTGAGTTTGATATTCTTAGGATTCTCCATTCCTAGTCCTTACTAATTCTGCCTGAATACTTTCACAATATGAGGACAAGAATCCTATTTATTTTGTAAATAGTAGCCAATTTTTGTATGACTTATTAATATTTTTAAAAATTATTTACATAGGCATAGTACTTAAAATTAACTATTAAATTATAAGTAAATAAAAATAGTTACAAATGTAACTTTTAAGTATTAAATATAAAATTATATTTTAAAATGCCTTAAAATACATTTATTTATTTATTTGTTGAGGTGAGGTCTCATTATGTTGCTCAGGCTGGTATTGAACTCCTGAGCTCAAGTGATCCTCCTGACTCAGCCTTCTGAGCAGCTGAAAGTACAAGTAGGTGCCACCACAGCTGGCTACTAAAATACAAACATATTAAAAAGAACCCAACATATTTGGTAATGTTTTAGGATTTTATTTTGGGGGCAGGGTCTTGCTATGTAGCTCAGGCTGGCTTGGCCTCTCTCTGCTGGGTTTGCAGGCCTGTGTCAACTGACAAAATTTCAGGATTTCTGAGGTGTCATATTTATGTTTGTACACATGAGCTTGGTGTGGGAAGTATATGGGCAGGCTGCAGCCCCCAGTGCTGGGACATGCTCCAGGGTGCCCGTGTTCCCCATCCTTGGTCTTGGCTCTGCGTTAGCTCTTAGGGTGCCTCTTTCACTTCTGGTTCATAAGGTTACCCATCAAGATGCCGCTGAGTCACGTTTAGAGTAGCATGGCCCTGCAGGCATCTTGATTCCTGATCAAGTCTGTCCTGGGACCCAGCTTTCCCAGAAAAATCTGCCCTAGCTGCTGAACTATCCCTGATGAGAGAGACTCATTTGGCCTCAGTCCCAGGAGGCAGTTCCTCACTCATGGTGTGAGAGGCCAGAAGGCCCTCTCTGGGAGACATCAGCTGACCTTGTAGGACAATGGGGGCAAGGGCAGCTTTGAGTTAATGTGCAGATTCATGTACTAGCTCTGCCATCTACCAGCTGTGTGGTTCTGGACAGGTCAGTGTATTTCTAGGACCTGGGATGCTTGTAGTGATCACTTCACAGGCCAGTTAGAAAGATGAAAAGTGAATGCTAGGCCCAGCTTGTGTCCCATAGCAAATGCTCAATAAGTGTTGGTATAATTGTAACTGGTATTATTTTCTGCATGAAGCTGGCAGCGGTGCTCTGTGGTGGCTGTGATGTGCCTTGGAGCCAGCTGGCACTGGAAAGGACTGGGGTCCTCTGAGGTTGGACAGAAACCAAGCTCTTGTCCTATCCTACACTGAGATTGTTACCCGGAGCTCTGTCTGCAGTGCCTCAGTTTTCTCACCCGTTAAGTGGGGAGAAAAACGTCAGTCTCCAACATCCCAACATGAGTATGAGCATCAAGTGAGCCAATGGAATTGGACATAATTTGCAAAGTAGGATAAGCAGTGGAAATCTCAGCTCTGCCAATGGCTGTGTTAGGACATTGTCCCAAGAAGAGAAAGGAGAAAAGGGCAGGAAGGGAAAGGACAGCTGGAGGCCTGCTGGCTCATTGCCTGTTTGAATGGCTCTGATCTCCAGCAGTGTCTGATCACAGCACACAGAGCATCTCAGCCCCTCTCCCCCTCCTTCAGTGTACAAACTTGGAATCCAATGCTTCTGCATTTTTGTTGCTGAAATGGGTTCTTGCTGCTGTAACAACTTACAGACTGGGGCAGCAAAGAGTTCCCTGGAGCCACCCCTAGCCTGAACTCTGCTGGGGTGGGCTGGTTTGCTTTACTTGTTTGACTGGAACAGACTCCCTCCCCCAGCAGGACCCTTGGCAGGCCCCTCAAAACCAGGCCTGCTTCTCTGTGTAACCCTGTCCTTGTTGATTCTCAGGTACTTTGAATTTTACGAGGGGCCTTTTGAATATAACTCCACAAGATGTCTGGAGCTGAGGCACGAGATAATGGAGGTGAAAGTGCTATCCATGTGAGTGTGGCTGGGCTCGGTGGTGGGTAACAGGTGCATGTGGAGGGTGGGGCTGGGCAGGATGGGGTGTCAAACACAGAAGGAACAGGAAACTCCAGGTGGATCCCATGGAACAAAAATTAGGTCTCCTTCCCCAAGACCACTGGAATTTGGAAAGCTGTGGAAGCTGTTTTATGACGAAAGACCAGGTATGCTAGGTCGCCTCTGATGACTCTGACGTTAAAGTCCCAGTTTCAATTACCCATCTTCTTGATTATCATCTCTGGGCTCTTGTTATGTAGAAATTGAAGAGGGCACAGGAGTGTCTTACCTGAAATTCAGTACTTTGTACCGCAGGGTTAAGTGTTGCCCTCTTGCTATCACCTTTTAAATTTTTAATCTCATTAAAAGTTTTGATTTTTTAATTATTTAAATTATACAAAATTCAAGTGGTCCAGAAGAGTATACAGTGAAATGTTCCCTTCTTGGAGCCACCACTTCTCCTCCACAGAGGCCCAGTGCATCCTTCCAGCAAAGGTCTGAGAACAAGCAGGCATCTGGGTGTGGCAAGCTTTCTGCGCACTGAGCTACCCCCCCACCTATTTTTATTTTTTATTTTGAGACAGGGTTTTTGCTAAATTGCAGAGGCTGGCTTTCAGCTTATGATCCTCCTGACTCAGGCATGTGCCACCACATCTGGCTTCTTTAAATATTTTTTGCTTTACACAAATGGTAAAGGAACTGTGTTCCCTATCCCATGCAACAGCATATCTCCTATGGCTCTCTTTCAACTCTCAGGAGGAACGGCACATCAGATGCTATATGTTTTAGTATGTGTATGCTCACCCAAGTTTTCCCTCTATATAGAACTGCCTTGAATTCAGCAGACCCCTTTAGGAGGGGTTGTATTGTATTAATCATGAAAGGATCTGTATATATTTAGAAACAGTTATATCTGGATACAGAAAATATACTTTATTCAAAGGCAACCAATATTGGGTGCTCATGTAGACCAGCACCTCAGGGACCTCTGCCTGTGGCCCACAGGCAGGAACCGTATCTCCTGTGATTTCAGGTGTGGGGTCAGGCTGAGCACATGTACCGTGGAGTCGTACATCACTCTGCACTGTTAGGAAAATTACTTACATTCTTGAACCTTTCCTTAACAAACACCTGAGGTAATCATCCTATAAAGAGGGAAGGTTTGTTTTGGTTCACAGTTTTGGAGGTTTCATTCCACCATCTGTTGGCCCCATGACTTTTGAACCTGTGGTGAGGCAGCACATCATGGCAAGGAGCACGAGTCGGAGCGAAGCTGCTTACCTTTTGGCTGGGATGTGAAGAGAGGGGAAAAGACCAAGGTCTTATCATCTCCTTTAGCCACACACCTCAATGACCTGGAGATTTCCCATTAGATCCCACCTCTTAAAGCTTTCACAGCCTCCCCAAAGCATTACTCTGGGAACAAGTCTTCAGCACATGGGCCCTTGAGGGATGGACACTTTAGATCTAAGCTTTGGTTGATTTTGAAGCTCAGAAGCTGCTGGAGAACCCTAAGGGTGTTGCCCAGTCTGTCCCTAACCAATGGCCCATCACCGTCCCTACAGATGAACACAGGAGGCAGCCCCCCTCCTACGGAATCCACCAACGCTTGGTGGAGCACACACTGCTGTGGTCCTGGCCCTCAGGGAGCTCACAGCTTATCAGGGAAAATAGACAAGAACAAGTAATTACCCTATGGAGACAAGGGGTGACAGGGAATTGACCTAGGCTGGGGGAGGGCTGCCAGGGAGGGCTTTCTTGAGGAAAGGACTGTGGAGCTTTGGTCTACAGAGTGACAGGTATTAACTAGGCTGGGAAGAACCAGACAGAATATTTATACAAGGCCTTACACCTGTGGGGAGCCTGCTGCATCTGGACTCTGAAGGACCAGAGCAGCTTGAAGGCTAGCTGTGCTGAGAGAGGAGCCCCACAGTGCAGACCCAAGTCTAGATTTTGTCCTTGTTTTGTCTGAGGGCCACAGGAGCCCATGGGCAGGGTTCTGAGCAGGAGTGGGATGTGATTGAGGCCCTGGAACACTCTGAAGTTATGATTTAGTGAAAAGGACCATCTTGACCTGTCAGGAAGCAGATTCATAAGCTCATGAGCAGAGAGCCCATCTTTTCTCAGAATTCAAATATTTCAAGTCCTTATGAGTCGGCAGTGGCGATCCAGAGCACTCTTGTTGAAATACAGAGCACCTCAGTGTTTTCAAGGGGAGTATAATTTGTTTTTTAAATTATAAAATGTGCAGTTTCTTCAAGGTTATTCAAGGTCTGGACAGGAAGAGTGAAGAAAACCTATAAACTGGTTACCCTGCTATCTAACTTCCCATTGCTCTACATGGATTTTTTATATATTGGTGTTTAACCCTCCAACAGCTTGCTCTGGCTGCTGTGAAAAAGTCCCTAAGGTGAGGTGGCTTAACCACTAGACATTTATTTCACACAGCTTTGGAAGGTTGAAGTCTGAAAACAGGTGTTGGCAGGGTTGATTTCTTCTGAGGTCTCTCTCATTGGCTTGCTGATGTCACCTTCTCATTGTGTCCTAACTTGGCTGCCCCTCAGTCCGTATCTTGTGTCCTGATCTCCTCTTCTTATAAGGACACTAGTCATGTTGGATTGAGTCCATCCCAATGGCTTCCTTTTACCTTAATTACCTCTTTTAAAACCCTTTCTCCAAAGGTAGTTGGAGGTATTGGAGGCTTAGAGGTACTGGGGGATAGGACTGCAATATATGAATTTTGAGGAGGTGCAATTCAGTTAATAACACTCCCTATCACAGCTAATATTTGGGGGCCAGATGAGAAATTACCCAGGCCCTTTGATATAAGCCTAAACACAAACATTGTGCTGTGTGATGGACAACTTTACATCTCCCCACGCTGTCCCTGTTCATGGACTCCTGTTGGTAGTATTCTGATCTCTCTGTATTTGGTGTTAGTTCTACTCTTAGGACATCCTCTCTGCTCCCCTTGTGCTGGATTTCTGGGTTGAACAGCAATGCAGCTGGTGACCTCATCCTTGCTGGGCCTTGTATAACTTGTCTCTTCTCATGGCAGCTGCCCTCTTTGTGCCATGCAAGAGTGAGGAAGGAGAGGTAAGGCCAGGCTATCAATGGGGAATGAGGGTGTGAGCCGGGAGGACATCAAGGAACAGCAAGTCCAGTGCTTCCTTTTCTGAGTCCTAAGTCTGATGGTTAGTGGGTCCTTGGGAATGAAACTGGAGAGCCCCAAAGGCTGGCCTCTGATCTGAGTGGCCCTGACATCATCTGAGGCACCTCAGGGCTTCACTGGGCTCCTGCCCTACAACATGACCTGGCTCATGACATGACTGGCCTTGAGTCATTAGGAAAAGGTTAAACCCCATCTGGGGATGGAGGCAGCTGGACAAATGTGTTCATGTCCCTTCCGGCACACAATGTCAGCTGGTGTTCTGTTTGAGGAGACAGGGAGGTGTATGATTCATCCTGGAATAATTTTGATTCAGAATTGCTAAAGTCAATGGTAAAGTCAGTCAGCCAGAAAATTCCCACATGGAAAAATGCCTCACTCCCTGACAATGTCAGATACATGAGGAATTCTCCAGGATGATTTGTTATGAAAATGTATTGTTGCTAATTCTTGTTAAAATTATTTATGCTTGATTGTAGTCAGTCTAGAAAAGTAATGGCAAACCTAAGACACACATGTTGCAGCTGGCTGTTTGTGATCTCTGAATGCTCTAGAAGGTTTGCCATCACTGATTTAGAGTCTCTTTATTTTTAGGGAAAAATCTTTAGTTGCTGCCTGTGCTCTCAACCAGATGGGAGGTCATGCCTGAGAACTCCCCAGCTGGCCTCTCCTCCAGCCCATTGCCCATTTTTCTGGGTCTGGGGGACTTGGCACAAAACCTAGTAATGAGATCAAGAGAACAACTGGGAGTCATGGCCTCTGGGCAAGTGCCACTCCCTGGACAGAGAGGCCCTTTTTGTCTACTGAAGCTGAGTTCCAGGACAGTGTTCATGAGTCTATCATTTCTGCACGGGCTTAGATGCACTGGTGAAGTGAATGAGTGGATAGAGGAAGTGGGTGAGACCTGGGAGCAGACAGAGGAGGCCATGAAAAAAAGGGAGAACAAAGAAGGATAATGAGATTCTCATTCTTTGCTCCTGTGATCATCACCTCTTGTGTATGAAAAATCAAGTAGATCACAAAAGGTTGTACTAATAAAAAACCTTAGTCCCCTGCCCTGTGCCTTCTCACCCCGCTCAACTGCTTTTGATTCTCAGTTGTCTCTAGGCAATTACTCCTATACCTTTTAGTAACATGTGCGCACAGCTATTTTGTACTCACTCCCTCCTGGCAGACTTCACTGATGTTTGGCTTTGGTGGGTAAAGATCCTGCTGTCTCCCTAGCCCCTATCCCATGTTCCCCCAGTTGAGCATCCTGTGGTTTACATGTGGTTTGTCCCCATAAGGTTCATGTGCTCAAGGCTTGGCCCCAACATGACAATACCTAAGCAGTGGAACCTTTAAGAGGTGGGGCCTAGTAGGAGACAGTTATGTCTTAGGGAGTGAAAAAAAGATCAATGCTGGTTTTCCAGAGTGAATTAATTCCCATGAGTCTAGGTTGTTGTAAAAAAAGAGAGCTTGACTTCTTAATTTCTCTGGCTTCCTGTCTTGCCATGTGATCTCTTCTGATGTGGTCCTCTGTATGCTTTTCTGCAATGTTATGTAGTTAAGGAGGCCATCACCAGAGGCTAAACTGATAGGGACACCTAATTTTTAACTTTCAGCCTTCAAAACTGTGAGTTAAATAAATTTCTTTTCTTTATATCTACCCAAGCCCCAGATATTTTGTTATAGCAATAGAAAACAGATTAATACAAAAGAAATCGCTAGTTTTAGTTCTTATTTGTATAGATTACTTAAGTAATCTATTTCTTCTACAAAATACAGACAGTGTCTAGTTTCTGCACTGTGCAAGATGTGGCTATTAACT